AAATAAATAAATAAATCACTATCTTCAGATCTCCTCTTTTTTTAGCTTTTTTTTTTTAAAAAAGAAAACTTTTTAAACTTTTTTAAAAAAAAAAAAAAACAACTTTTTTTTTTAGTCACGATACAAAATGGTTTCTTTAGGGATCTAGGATTTTTTTTCTTCTATAAAATGTTTTAGCATTAAATGGCACTTAATTTAGTATTACGTATTCAACAAACATTTATTGTTGTTGTGAAAACTGCAATTCTTAATATATTTTCTTTAATTATATCAACACATATTATGTGGGTGTGCAGTTATTTGGTTCATTTTTAAACATGGGTATCTGTATTGCAATACTTCTTTGTTCATAGACTGTTCATGCTATTTCTTCCACTCCACTTTGCTCATTAATCATGATGACAGCTGATACTTTTCTCACTGACATGAAATATTCAATTTAAAAAAAAAAATGTTATACAGCTTAATGTTGTCATTTATGATATGTGCAAAATAGAAAGAAACTTCATTGAAAAACTAATATGACAAATATTGATACCAATGGTAAACATCTTTCCTCTCACAACAAGTGAAGACCTCTGAAAAGTACTAAGGTGTTGAATGAAAAGACTATAGACTTTTTTAAATGTCTCATGGTACTCAGTTTAAGTGATTCTACTCATATATAATCTCCAAATCCTTTAAATGACAGTAGATATCTTAAAGAGTATGAAGTACAAGTTCAGTTCTGAACAAGATAATATATTCACATAGAAAATGAAAATAAATTTAATCAAATATGCTATGCCTTACAAAAAAAAAATATATAATAATAATTTAGAGTCAAAGGATCAGTTGATATCTAATGAAAGGGGCGAGGCTGTAAACTGTGATCTAGTAAAGACATGCTATCCTTGTGGAACAGGATTGAAAATCATCTCTGAAGGCAGAGAAAGTTCAGAGCTCCCCAGCTGTACAGCAGGAAACAATCGTACAGGATAAACTCTCAGATTAACCCAGTTTAGATTTCACTTTGACAGGATCCTTCATATTAAATGTATTATGCAATAGTGTTACATGAGAGGAATGATAAAACATTTGGAGGATTTGGAGGTAGTGACCTCCTCCAGGGACCTGAAGTGGATAAGAAAAAAAAAAATGTTTATGAAAAAAAACAGTTCAGTGAGTTTAAAACAGCAAAAGTAAACTGTCAAAGGAAGCCTTATGGTCAAACTGGAAAAAATCCGAGCTCCTGCATGGAAAGGGAAGAAAGCAAAAGTAGTGTCTTTTCTATTTCAGTCAAACTCTTTCCACACGTATATTTGACCACTTCAGAATTCAGAAATAATTCTGCTTTCCCAGACTTTTTCTGTGCTAGTAAGAGTAGTTAGAATAGTAAAAATAGGTTTCCTTGGACACCATAACTTAATTCAAAATGTCATCAGCTTTCCAGTTCGTATTTATTTTACAGATATCTTGATGTGTTTCTCTATGAAAACTATTAGGGATGCCTGGGAAATTTAGTATCACTTTGCTTTGTACTCCTTTGTCTCTCTATGTCACTAAGAAATTTGTCCTGTTGGATAAAAGATTACTTTAATGCACTATGACCAAGCATGTGCATTGTTAAAGGACTAAAGAATACCACGATAACATAGAGAGCCTCAGAAAAATGACAAGGCGAGCTTTAGTGACACACTGGCTTAATCATTATTAATTTCTTTTATTTAAGACTAAAGCAACTTATTTGCCTTTTGTGGATAACTTTTGTTTTTTTTTTTTTTCCTTTTTTTTTTTTTGCAAAGAAGATTTATACATGTACAGTGATTTTCAATAAAAGGCTCAGGAGAGACACAGGTTTCATGTATGCAAAAAAAAACCATGTTATTTAAGTTGCTGAAAGACTTGGAGCAGAATTTTGTCCTTGAATATATAGGTCGCCACTGTTTACTTTAATGGGAGGTATATGCCATATTCCAGTGATCAACCTTAGCACTTGAAGAGAACTCCAGCTAGGAAACCAAATGCTTTTTTTTCTTAGATATACTGCAGTTATTATTGCTGGAAAGATGTAGACAACAGCAGACCATAGAATTAGAAGCTCCTTCAATTTTGCTTATTTTAGAAGTGTATCTGTTCTATGGCAGGCTTGAAGAAGTCTTCTTGATTTTTCCTAGTATCAGTCATGTATCAAACTGTAACAGCACCAACTCTTGCACCAAAACCTATGTAAATATCCTGTCTTCTTTTTTCATTCAGGATGATATTGGCTTTCAGAACCCACCCTTACATTTCTGGGCAACATAGGTGCATCATATTGCTCAAATATGAGAAAAAAAAAAAAAAAAAAAAAAAAAAAAGGAAGAATCAGTTGTAAAGTTTATGAAAGTCTCTGAAGTGTAGTTCTGGCTTAATACTGTTTTGTGATTGGTTTTGGTATAGTGTTGTTTTGGTTTTGTTCTGGACATCAGGAAGAGGTTCTTCACCGAGAGGGTGGTTGCACACTGGAACAGGCTCCCCAGGGACGTAGTCACTGCACCAAGCCTGTCTGAATCTAAAAAGCAATTGGACTGTGCACTTAGTCACATGGTCTAAACTTTTGGGCAGACCTATGTGGTGCCAGGAGTTGGACTTGATGATCCTTACGGGTTCCAACTTGGAATATCCTATGATTCTATGATTTGTTTGGGGGGGGGGGTTGTCTGGTTGTTTTGTTTTTAGTGAAATTCCAAAGTATTTTTCTATTACTCTAGCCTGGTTATTTTGCCATACAGGTTCTGGTTGCATCCATCTCTTTATTTCATACTGGTTTAAAATGCCTAAAACCAAAGATTCTTGTTTGTTTGTTTATATCCAATTCCACAGTCCACCAAGTTAATATATTCATTTGTAGTAGGTCACAGAATATGAATAGTTACATAGGAGAGTAGGTACTACCAATTCATTTTTGAAGGAGAAAGCTTGAATTCCCTGGAGATGATATAGCAGGTATTTTGCAAGTGAAGGCATACTATCACTTAAATCCTCAAATACTTTCATCCATTATTTTCAAAAGTAGAACATGCATTAGCCCATATTAATTCAACCTCGCTGTGACCCACAGCGACATATCACTGTCCTTAATCTTTATAAATGGCTTTTGCACTCTTCACCATCAAAAAACTTTCCTTTTGCTGATCAATACAAAGTGTATTTGAAAAGAGCATTATCTGCCTTTGAAAAGGCCTTCTGGACAATCAATGGTCTTCAGAAGCAGATGCTGATCAAGCAAGCATAGGCAACATTGTAGAAAGCTAGTAAATATTGATCTCAATTCAGAAAAGGAAATTGCCTTGTAGTTGCAGTGTCTGACTTCATTTAGGCTATAAGTTTACTAAACATCTGATTGGCTGGTGTGGTAAACAAGACGGTGCATCATCACTGATTAATGAGCTTGTATGAATAACATGCCTTAAAATTTTTATTTGGTCACAACATGGAACTTAAACTAGAGTTTACCCAAACTCAAAGAATTTTAATTTAACTTGTCAAAAAACACAAGTAATACTCATTATCCTCATTGTCCACATGATTTCACAGTAGACTGAGGCAAATGAAAACAAATGCCCTGGCACTGTCTTTTCTTATGAATTTGGACTCCCTAATAAAAAGGGAAAAAAAAATAAAAAAAAAAGGTTAATCATTAATATACACCAGGCAACATCTTGAACTCAATTGGTTTATCAAAGTTACACACTCTTTTTTTATTTCCAAGATTTTATTGGTAGAACCTGTTATTTCTGATAGCAGAAATAGCATTTTACAGTAGGCTTAGATCCAGCCAGTACAACTCAACTAGTATGGATAGAAGGAAAGATGCAAAGAAACCTCATCAGATAATCCAAACTTCCATGTAATGCATTATAATAAAACATGAATTATTCTAGATTTATGACAGAAATCGTTTAGTACTTCCAAATTATGAGTCACATAATTAGTTGTCAGAAAACTGCACTGACCATCATTCTGTAAAAGATATTTTAGTTTACAGTACCATATAAATCATCAAACGTCTATGGTCTGTGTCACTGAAGTCAATAGGACTAAATTGATATTCACCAACCTGTCTGATCGTTCCTTCAGATTGCTGTAGGAAAGGTTGTTCCTCACAAATGTAGGGCAAAAATATACTAATTTTAGGTCAAAGATTCAGAACTATCTACACTGATAGAATTGCCTCAATCAGTCCCTTCCCTCTCCCCCCACATCCACCCCCACTCCCCACCCCATTGCATTAGTCTACTCACTCTAGAATAAAAACAAATCCCAAAATCTCAGCAGTCCCAGAATGGACCATTTACCTCTGAGCCAGCAAGATGCTAGGCAAAGTGTAACAGGAGAATACCAGAACACAATAAGCATTTTATTCCAAAGAGCCATTCTTCATCATGGTTCCTTATGAGAAGAGTGGGATTGGACTGATACAGTCAGTCTGAACAAGACAAACACACTTAGAATTTTACTCAGCAGAAAAGGGATAAGAAAGTTTACAGCCATTCCTTTAGCCCACTCAAAGGCTAGGGAAATGTACTGGCCATCAGCTCTGTGCAAATCATCTTTATCAAAACAGAACAACTGGACTTTTCACAAAACATGTGTTTTCTATTTAACAGGAAATGATTACCTCCTGTGTCAGAGAAAATTTTAAAAATATCTTACTGATTTGTTGTTACAGATTTACAGACTTGTAAATAGTTGCAAAAGACCTTCATTTGGACCCCGAAACTAACAAGGATATACCTTACTACATGGATAAAATTAACTTTAAGATTTAAAATATTTTTACAACATGAGAAAGTTTTGAGTAAAATTCAATGCATTAAGAAGGACTTTGACCTCACATTTTAGACCTGAGCTGAAAAATACTAATAATTAAAAAATAAATAAAAATACAAATACACAAAACCAAGTTCTGAAACATTTTAAAGCCAAATTTTCTAGACTTAGGCTCTAATTTTGCAAACACAAATACAGTAATTGGGCATAAAATGCTCATGTACCATAAAAGTTCTTACAGTGTGGTATTTGGGCTATATCAGGAGGTGAATCAGGGAGCTGCTGTGTGGTTTTACAGCCACTATCTACTTTGAAGGGTGGGAAGAGTAGCTTGGGCTGTCTGGGTTGTAGCTGAACAATGGATCTGAAATAGGGCTGTTTCTAGAATCTATATGGAGAATAAAATATGACAGAACAATATTTCTTGCTGTCAGTTTGTGGACAGTTGAAGAGTGCTGGGTTTGGGTTGACAAGCCGTATGTGATAAATGGTGAATAGTTTTGTGTGACTGTATTTCGCAGCAAAAGGTGAAGACTTTGTCTTATTTTGGAAATGCAGTGTAGTGTGATGACTGTTTGCAGAATGGTGGTCTGATGCCAACCACTATGGGAAGACTTGCTTGTGAAACTTCACATACGTGACACCATCACAATATTGACAATCACTTCCTGGCATTATTAGCATTGTTCTGAAATAATACTCTGAATCCCCGTCGTAATGTACAGCACACTGTTGACTGTTCTTGTATTGACCAAACACGTAATGAAACAGGGTTCCTTACCAAGGGGGAATGGCTCTTGCTTTATCTCTACTGCTGACTCAGTATTAAAAATACATTAGCAGAGTAAGTTCCATGTAACTACACTTCCTAACTATACGCTAACACACATGGCTTAATGTATGTCTTCTTTGGTGCTGTTACTCATGATTTACACACAACATGTGGAGGCCCAACAGAGGGCTCTTAAGTTATTTTAGAATACTAATCAGTTCCTACACACAACAGCTTTTATGCTGTTTTAAAGTAGGTTACAAAAGCAGAAGCAAGCAAGCAAGGTGCATGTACAAGCCTCAGTCAGGGTAACATCCCTTGGTCCCTGTTATCAACACCTAGCAAAGGCAATTCTAAGGGAATTACATGGTTGCTAATCATCAACTCCATGACTATGTGAATCCTTAAAATAATAACCATTAATCAAAAACAGAATAACTCCTGTTGCATATCATCTTTTTTTTATTATTATTATTTTTATTTTTTACTTCCCTCCCCCCTCCCAGGAGACGCCATCTTTCAAATTAAGGAGCATTTCAGAGAACCTTCTTCTACACAGGTAAGTGGGCATCTCCACCACACCCTAGGCCCTGCCTGTGCTGGGGTGGAGGCATAGGGTCAGGATGGTAATTCCTTGGTGCTCTGAAAGTCAAAAGAATGAGTAACATCAATGGAAACAACTCTGTAGGAACAGCTAAGAAGAATACCATATGAAATTCATGTATTGGCATGGCATTTAAATGAGGAAAAAAAGAAAAAAAAAGGAGTGACATGATAGTGTAATGAAAACCTCCCAGACAAAAACAGTTGTTTACAATGAAAGTTCATTATTGTTTTATACAATGTAATATGCTGATTTTAAGGACATCTCCATATCTACGAGCTCCTAATTAGCAGTACTGTTTCTTTGGTCCTGAACATGATAAAAAGTGAAGCTCAGCACAGTAATTTTTTGCTTTAACCTGAGCAATGAGAGCCTGATCTGCTGATATATTCAGCCTAGAAGAGAGGGATCTGGGGGTCGTGGTAGACAGCAAGTTGAATATGAGCCAGCAGTGTGCCCTGGCAGCCAGGAGGGCCAACCATGTCCTGGGGTGCATCAAGCACGGCATCGCTAGTAGGTCAAGGGAGGTGATTGTCCCACTCTACTCTGCGCTGGTGCGGCCTCACCTCGAGTACTGTGTGCAGTTCTGGGCAACACAGTATAAAAAGGACATGAAACTGTTGGAGAGTGTCCAGAGGAGGGCTACGAAGATGGTGAAAGGCCTGGAGGGGAAGACATACGAGGAACGGCTGAGGGCACTGGGCCTGTTCAGCCTGGAGAAGAGGAGGCTGAGGGGAGACCTCATCACAGTCTACAACTTCCTCGTAAGGGGGTGTCGAGAGGCAGGAGACCTTTTCTCCATTAACACCAGTGACAGGACCCACGGGAACGGGGTTAAGCTGAGGCAGGGGAAATTTAGGCTTGACATCAGGAGGGGGTTCTTCACAGAGAGGGTGGTTGCACACTGGAACAGGCTCCCCAGGGAAGTGGTCACTGCACCGAGCCTGTCTGAATTTAAGAAGAGATTGGACTGTGCACTTAGTCACATGGTCTGAACTTTTGGGTAGATCTGTGCGGTGTCAAGAGTTGGACTTGATGATCCTTAAGGGTCCCTTCCAACTCAGGATATTCTATGATTCTATGATTCTATATACCCAACAAAGTCCTCTTGGCTTTTGCAGCTTGGTGAATATAGCCAAATCTGCATTCAACATGTTCTCCACATTTCCATCATTGTGCAGAATGAAGCCATGAAGAGCCCCGGGGACACGTGTTTAGCTGCCATTCTGCAGCACTTGTAGCATTTTAACTTGAAGCCTCTGGGAAAAAGCCACATACATATTACTATGGCTTCGGAGTTTAAATTGTTAGTTGATGTGTCCTGTTTATCAAATTCATTTTGTGCTTGAAAAATAGACCTGGCCCTGCAAGCAGTGAGGGGTTTGGGCTATTTGTTTGTTTGTTTTAAATAAAAGCCTAAAGAAAAGGTGTTCACAAATAACTAATCAAGTATTTGTCCCTCGTCTGCCTCTGAGTTATTTTATACTTAAATTGACTCATTGCTGACATTGTAAGTTTTGCAAGGTGCTGTTCTCACCTATCTGACCTTCTTTATGAAATATGCTTATATGAGTAAAAAGGAGATAGGCTGTCCCATTTTTCATTCAGTGGGGTTTGTTTTTGGTGTGGTTAGTCAGTGTAAAAAAATAAAAATAAAAGAGAAAACCTAAAAACCAATCTCATGTAAATCTATGATGATACAGGAGCAGCATTTTGAAAGCAGCAAGACATTTAATTTCTCTTCAGCTGTTAACAAGAAAATATATTTTTATACATACATCTTATATATTTTTTCTTTGATATATTTTTGCAGGTAAGAGCATTTCTGTAGGTTAGGACATGTGTGTTGTTGATTTCCATTATATAGTAATCTGCCATCCATTTATTGCATGAGTTGTAAATGAAACAGTATCTTAGTGCAAAGACAGTCAATATTATTTTTTAAGCCTAAAGAAAGGCCTTCATAAGTGAAAGGATTAACTTTTCCAGTTTGTTTGGAATACCTCTTAAAAAAAAAAAAAAGTTTATTGTTTTGAATGAGCTTATGTTGGCCAGCTAGTCTATTATCCAGGGAACAAATGTTTCCTTGTGAGCATGAGAAAACTTGCAACTCTTATTACGGTATTTCAAATAATGGGAAGTAATGGTAAAATTGCTGCAATAAACTCAAACAAAATTGTAATAGGCAAGTCTGCTACACAATGTGCATTCCCCACATTGTTCCTTTACTGGTGCCAAAAGCATGTCACTCAGGTAATTTGTTTTAGACCTTTAACAAGACTTAGAAGCAATTATTATGAAACACTGACACAACAGATCTCACCAACAATTGAAGTTTGACAGCTTGTGAGAAAAGTCTTATGTTTATGTCTTTGGAGGGGTGATCCTCTGTATGACCTCCTTTTTCACTGCTGTGAATGATAAACTATCATTCTCCAGTGTTAGCTCACTATAGCTGAAGGCCCAAATGTACTGTATTTGTAAAGGAAATTTTCATCTGGTTCTCCGAATCAAATAAAGCTGGAAACTCCTGTGGTTCTTTTCACAGATCTGGTTTTAGCTTTATGGTATGCTCCAACTGTTAGAGAGCTAAATGCCTAACAGATCTCCACATTGTCTACTTTGTAAATGTCTGTAGAAAAAACAGATACATACGCAGAGTTACTTTCTGATTGAAAATAGCTTCATATTTGCTTGCAAAATGAAATAACCTGCATGTGTGGGGGGCGGGGGGGGGCGGGGGGGGGGGGGGGGGGAGAGAGATTGAGAGAGAGAAAGAGAAAGGGAGATTGTTAGTATCACAATACATTCACTTACCTTGTTTCAGAGTAGAGCTTGGAGGAATAATTTATTGCTTTACAATCCTTCCAGCATCTGCAAGCACCCAAATCATCTACTTGTAATCCACATTTCAGAGACAAGTGGAAGATGATGTAGTAGGCAGGACTGCACACTCACCCTCCAAGAATTCCTCCAAACCATCTAGAGTTGATCAGAAATGCCATGGAGCACCAAAGAAAAAGGAACTACTACAAAGTCACACATTGGCCAAACTGCAATTCTTCCTAAAAGAAGATCACTTGATATTGTTAAGCACATGCAAAATGGAAGAGTGTACTTTTTTTGCTTAATGATTCTAATAAATAAATAGACAGATAAACAAACAGTAAGACATGGTAAGGGTTACAAAGTGGCCCACAAGGCATCAGATTAAAATACCTTTCTTTTCATTTGTGTACTCTGACTCTTCATGTGTATGGCTTGCATAATATCAGAAAAACCCTAGTCCTCGAAACTATTTTTGTTTCAATTAGTATATTATCCAGTTGATAATCTACCATGGGTGTTATTTCACTTGTACTTTCACAACAATATCAATATAACCCATGTTAAGTGGTTTTAATGACTTCTAATCTCAATCGAAAGGATTTTGGTTTACCTCCAGAGTTTTCTCTATATTACTGAAAGGAGAACACGGTGGGAAACTCTTTCTTCCTTTTTATTTCCAGAAAGGTGAAGGAAATGGCAACACTTTGGTGACCTCAAAAAAATGAGGTCATCATTAAACATAGATGAAATGTTTTTGAATCTTAGATGCCCCAAGTACTTTGGTTTCTCATACCTTCGTACTCTTGTAGAAAACAATCACAATTATCACAGGAAATCGAAACATAATCAAAGATACCCAATGTAAGGGATAGTAATAACATGATAAAATCCTTATAGACTTCAGAAAACAAACAAACAAACAAACAAACAACAACAAAAAAAAAAACAACATTTAAAGTCTACTACTTTTTCCTCTTGCCTAAGATTGCAAATTAGAATATTGTTTAATTTCAATCTACAGAACAAGTGATCATTAAAAATAAATAAATAAAATGCATAAATAAATAATAATGAATACTTTAGTTCAAAACATTTGCTGCACTAGTTGCAGAAGACAACCTAAACTTCAATACATATACATGTAGTGTGAATAGTTTATCATATACTAATTATATAAAAGCTGCAGGTGGTAAATAAGTTTTAAAATTTCACCACCTCCATAAAATATGTTTAAGGTAAGTAAAATTGCCTCTGAGTTGACAGACTACCTAACCAATACAGTGCACTTGGGTCTGTCTCTGCAGGACCTGTGGGAGAGCCTGACCCACAGGACGGTCAACTACAACCTGGACTCTAGGAGTTGGAAGTGAAGGACTTCATGCACGTTCCTGAAATGTGTTGGTATCCTCTGATCTTGCTCTTACACCTCAGTGTTCAGTCAAGGGGATGGCTTTAAATCAAAGTGTAATTCTGTGATGCTCATCTCCTCGAACGAGTATGCTTAATGAAAAAGCTCTGGAAAACTAAACACATCCAACATCTATACACCCCACACTCCAACACAAATCTCACTAGACTTTGGGCCCTCTCCTAATCAGAGAGGCCTGAGCTGTTACAGTTATATTCTCTCCCCACTTTCATTTATAACTACAGATATGCAAAGCTTTGCTAATTTTAGCTGAGATTAAAGGAAAAGTTTCAGTGTAATGAAGGTCATCTAATAACCTGCAAAGTAATTGTGTACGCCTGTTGCATTGGTATGTTTCCCAGACACAGATGAAAAAGTATCTGAGATACAGCACATTGGTGTGAAATACTACAAAGTACTTTTTACACAAACACACCCTGTGGTGCTTCAGTAACAGTCTGGCACTTTAGTGACGCATTGAAAAAAAAAAAAAAAAAAAAAAAAAAAAAAAAAAAAAAAAACAACACCAACAACCAAAATAAACAAACAAAAGAAACAAACAAAAACTTGTGGTCAGGAATTTGAATACACTGTCCTGTGATAATCTAAGACATTTAAAATGATGAAATTTGAGCAATGAATTACTTGTTGACTATGCAGCCTTCTGCTACCTTGGGCTCTTGACTGTCTTACTACTATAGCTTATCCTCTCAAAGATCTTTAACAGAGGTCCTTCTTTAGTCTCTGAATAAAGTTGCAATGCTTCAAATATAGCTGTTGGGATATCCCAAGTAATAAAGGAGCGCAGTTCCATTATTGTGTCACTGAATATGACTGAATGTAACAATTCTTCTAGAAACTAGGAAGATAAAGCTCTACAAGTACATACAGGCATGACCTCTACATTACTGCCTGTGCTCTATGATGAATCTTTGACCAGTACCCTTCCATGTAGCTGCTTCCTCTCCCCTATTATTCTTTATTTTATTTACTGCCATTGAAACAGATTAGATGTCTCAAGGATATGAGTTATTTCATTCATTACTACAAAACAAATGTAGGTTTGTGTGAATCACCATCATTAACAGAAATGAGAGTTGCTCCTAATTGCATATAATAACTCAACAAGTGTTGCTCTTCTGTAACAAATCTACAAACTGCTCACAATGGAGCACCAGACAGCCCTGGAGAATTCACCATTTCCTATTCTATAATGGGGACTTTGCCAGAAAATTTGGTGAGTTTAATCCAGTTAGTGAGTTTAATCCAGTTATTTTTACATATGTCTCTAGTAAGACTACCCAAAAATGGCACAACACATCAGATCTATTTGCATTCTTATCCCATGGACTGCAGTGTTTCAAAAAATAGCTGCCTTCTGCCTCCAGGTACCTCTCCAGAAGTAACATATCTAATAACATGTTAGCCACTATGGACAGATAAAGCACCTTTGTCCTACAGGGATATTAGAAGTCAGAGCTTTTACTACTAACTGAACTTCAAACTAAACAAATTAACTTAATAGTCAACAAGAACAGAGAAGGGTGAAAGAAAAATCCTAACTTTGAAGTAACAGAAATGGCTTGGCACAAAAAAACAACACAACTGAAAGTATACTCACAGTTTAGGCTTCTGTGCAATTTGCAATTGCCTCCTTGATCCTCGGTACTTCATCACATCTGTAAAATTGATCATAGAGTAGTATCGCACCTGAAATGCAATAAATAAATAAATAAATAGATAGATAAATAAATAAATAAATAAATGAATAATCCCTCCCTAAGGTTACAAGTCATAACTGCAGACTTTCAGCCTCGGGGTTAAGGCAAGAATTGTATTCTTCTTGTGCAGCACCTGAAACAGGTGGCAGAACTTCTGACACTTAGGAGTTAATATAGCTAGTGTGTGTGTGTATGCACTAATTATGGATCACAGCATGCACTAGGATGCTAAGAAAGTTCAAAGAGAATATTAGATCCCTGACTCCAGCAGATGCACAGCTCTGGGGTATAAGAAAAAAAAATATGTGTGAGCAAATCACACAAGCTTCCTGAGCAGCTAGAAACAAACCTGGAACCCTGCAGGCTATTGTTGGATTTGTAAAATTGACAATAGCCTCTGCAACTTGTAATTTAGTCTTGTTTTTCCTTACTATTAAGATTATTGTTTCAGCTTACTTAGCTCATGAAAATATAAAAAGTAGAGAATGGAGGGATTTTCTGCCAGTGGTTATGCTATAAAATATTAACTTGTTGACACCTTGCATTAAAAATGGATTAATTACTAGATGGACCATAATAGTTCTACCATCTTTTTATAAGCATCATACACTATTCTAACTAAAATGCTTTGAAACTGCTCCTTCAAGTCTGTACAACTAACTTCAGTTTATACAATATTTAGAATACATTTAACATTTTATATGTACAGCTTTTGTTGTTTGAAGACCACCAGATCAGGCCATAAATTTGGTTGTCTTACAGCTGTTTGGGCAGAGCAGCACAAGGTAGTGAAGGTTAGAAATACATAATAAAGAACTCTCTAATGCAAACCATAGATTTTGAGGCCAAAAACAATTACTATGTTCTATCACCCAGCTCATCTTAAAAGAACTTCATATGGTCAGTAACAGGACAGAGGGCTTCACTTGACTTTTGCAGTGGCATAGAGCTCATTTGGAAGGCATCCATTATCAGTCAAGCAAAACTGACCTACAAGCCTGTCTTTCTTCTTGTTTTCACCGTATGCAGTGCAATACCTTGGAGTAGCACATATTCCAAAAAAGACATCCAGTTCTGAGCTGAAGACACCATGAGAATGAAAAGACACAACTTTACCCCAGTAATCTGTTTCAAGAGCTTCTCAGGCCAACTGTAAAAATATGCGCTTGATTTCTCAGATGACTCTGTCTTGTCTTGGCCTCCAGACATTGGTTCTAATTATGCTGCTCTCTACTAGATTAAAGTGCCTTCAGTACCCCATACTCTCTCTCCTGACATTACTTTCACAGTGAGATCAAATCACCTCTGACATTCTTAATATGATAAACAGAATGATCTGTATGTTTCTTGCCTTCTCCTGGGCCTCAAATAATTGTTGCAGGTCTTTGCTGCAATTTTGGGTATCCTTTAAAATGTGAATATTAAAACTAAGTGCGTGTATATACATACATATTTGCTAATTACCTCCTTGTTCTCATTTCCAAGGAGCATAATCTCTTTTTTTTTTTTTTTTTCCTCAGCTTCACCATCCAAAGACTACACTGTCAGGATCAATTGATTCTCAAGATGCAATTCTCCATACTATAGCTACACACAGTGCTCCTTGGTGCTTAATTCTGTGGTGTTTCTTCTTATGAATGCATCTTTTTCTCTAATGCATCTGGACTTGACCATCTAGCCCCCAGCACTGTTAATATCTCTGTCAATCCCCCAAAATTTTGTCAACTACATTCTGTACATATCTCCAAATTAACTTCTTGAATATTATTAGACCTGAAACATTTTTTAGATACAGCCTACTCAGCAACAATCCTCCACTGTCATTTTCTGAATTTTGAAATCTATTAAGTTATACCTATATAACACAAAGCTGGGAGGAGAACTGCCAAAACGTGACACATACATACAGTAAAGTGCAGTATCAAGCAGAAATCTGGTTATTGTACAGGTGTCTTGTTATGCTTCCTGGTCATTCCTTCTATGTAGAATAAATACTCTGTTGCTTAGCACAGATATGTTCTTAGTTTATCTACGTAGCACTTCACTGATGCTACCTCTCAAGCGGGTGTTGCTAGCAATTCTCACAGCACCACAAAATTATTAAGCTCAGACAGGATCTCTGGAGATCACCTAGTTCAATCCCCTACACAAGGCAGGGTCAAGTACAACAGGCTGTTCAGGATACAGACCAGTTGCATTTTGAATAACTCCAAGGACAGAGACTCTATAGCCACTCTGGGCAACCTGTTTCGGTGAACAATCTTAAAGCATCTTTTTCCTTATGTTTAAGTAGAATTTCCTGCATTTCATTTTATGCCTGTTGCCTCTCAGATTTTTATCAGAAACCACTTAGAAGAGTCTGGCTCCATTTTCTTTACTCCATTCTATCACACTGCCATAAGATTTGCCCCTGAGCCTTCCTTTCTCCTGCTTAAGTGATCCCAACTCTCTCAACCTCTCCTTGTGCTGCCATTCAGGGGGAATTCAACAGGCTGGAAGGTTGGGCTGACAAGGACCTCATAAAGTTCAACAATGGCAAGTGTAGGGTCCTGCACCTACAGAGGAATAACCTAAAGCACTAGTAGCACTAGTATAGGTGTGTGTGGTGGAGGGGTAGGGGGGAAGGAGGGTGGATAGACTGAGAGAACTGAGTCTGTTTAGCCTAGAAAAGAGAAGACTGAGGAGAGACCTCATTAAAGCATATAAATATCTGAGGGGAGGGTGTCAAGAGGATGGAGCCAGTCTTTTCAGTTGTGCCCAGTGACAGGACAAGAGGCAACAGGCACAAACTGAAGCACAGGAGGTTCTGGCTGAATACGAGGGGGCAATTCTTTACTGTGAGGGTGACAGAGCACTGGAACAAGCTGCCCAGAGAGGTGGAGTCTTCTTCTTTGGAAATATTCAAAATCTGCCTGAAGGCCATCTTGTGCAACGTGCTCTAGGTGGTCCTGCTCGGACTAGATGATCTTTGGAGGCTCCTTCCAAACTCAGTCGTTCCGTGACTCTGAAAAGATACTGTCTCTTCAGCATCTTTGTGGCCTTTTACTGGCTTTGCCACAGCTTGTCCATGTCTCTCTTGTACTGAGCAACCCAGATCTAGGCACACAACTCCAGAGGAAATCTCACCATGGATGTGCAGAAATGAAGAATCACCACCCTCAACCCACTGGTGAAACTCTTTCACATGTATCCTGAGTGCCACTGGCCACTTTTGCTACAAGAGTGTTTTTCTGACTCATGTTTCATTTGGTGTTCACACCAATCCCCAGAGCCTTTTCTGTAAAGCTGCTTTCCAGTTAGTGAGGCCCCAGCCTCTATGGGTTGGGTGCCTGGAGTTTCTTAATTTCCAGTGACAGGACTTAATCCCCTTTACTCAGATTTAGAAAACTCTTGTTGGTCTAGTTCTATAACTTCTCTAGATCTCTCTTAATGTGAGTGCAGCCAACTGGTACATCAATCACTCCTCACATGCAAACAGGCTGAATACCCTCTGTCCCATCATCAAAGTCATTAACGAAGATGTTAAAACATACCAGCTCTACTACCAACCCATGAAGTACAGCAATAGAAACTGACCTTCAGCTGGACTTCATGCCCTGGCTAGAGCCCTTTAAGAACAGGTCAGACTGTTCTCCATCCACTTCATTGTCCTTTCATCTAGCAGTGACTCATTAGGCTGTCAATAAGAAATTCATATGAGAACAGTGTTGAAAGTATTACTGAAGCCAAGATGACAGTCATCGCTCTCCCCTCACCCAAAACTGTCATCTCATCATAGAAGACTATCAGGCTGGCCAAGCATAGTTTCCCATTCTTAAACCCATCCTGACTACTTTCAACCACCTCTTGTCCTTCACATGTCCAAAAACATATTCCAAGATTCTTTGTTGCATCATATTGCACACAATCAGTGAGGTTGACTGGTCTATAGTTCTCTGGATCCCCTTTCTTGCTTTTCTTGAAGATAGGGGTGACATTTGCATTCTTTCAGCCATCAGAAAACACTTCTATCCACCACGACCTGTCAGAGATAATCAAAAGTGGCCTCACAATGACATCAGACAGCTCCCTTGGTATTTGTGGGTGCCACAAAGGTTCAATTTATTTAAATGCTCCCTAATTTGATCCTCCTCTACCAAGGACAGAGTTTTATTTCTCCAGACTTTCACAGTGAAGCGAAACAGTTTCTAGCATGACTGGACTAATCTTCCTTGAATTTGTTCAGTCCTTTTTTTGAATTCTCTGGTTATAGGGTCAATACTGTATTTTTTGTGTATGGGATTTAAATCTGAAGATTGCTTCTTCATCAACCTTCTTCAAACTACTTACAATTTTAATACCTATTACATTTTTGTTGTTGTTGTTGTTATCTCTTTTCAAAGTTGAAGGGAATATTGAATCTTTACTCATACACCAGTTGTTCCATTCCTTTCACCATTCTTGTTACTCTTCACTGTTACTAAGACCAAAAACATGTCAAAATTCAAAGGAAAACACATGTATGAACACGATGCACATCCTGGCTTGTATTATGTAATCAGAGTGAGAGAGAATTTCACATTTTTCAGCACGAATACAAGTTGCTCCCACTTTTTCCAATTGTTTATTCTGTCTTTTTTTTGTCCTTATTTATTAATTTTGCAAATAAATTAGTCCATTTGACTGTATCCTCCCAAATCCTGGTACATGTGTACAGTTGCCAGGAGAAGAGCATTGTTTTCTTTTCGCAAGTCCACCCCAAAGTGTTGCGTCTGGCTCTAATTCACTATTCTCCCATGAAGGCCATGGGGAGGATTACGTTTCTTTCTTCCCTATTCCCTCTTCCCTAGCTAATGTGTGCTGCTGTCACACACTGCTGATAGCAGCAGAGCGAGATGGGTAAACCAGATCAAAGAGAAATGTCAGCTCCAATTTTTGTCCATAGCACTGTAAAGTAACAAGGAGCTAAACAGAGTCATGCCATTTTTCAGCATTTACATTTCATAGCTGGCACTTCTTCACCATGCATCTTGGTATTAAACAGCTTCATAATAAGTAAAAGCCAAATTCCTTACCCTCCATAACCGCATCAAGTTCAAGAGGTCTGAAAAGAGGTAGCACAAGGCTGAATTGGGCTCTGTGATTCAGAACTGACATCCTGGCAAAGAAGTCTGCAGCAGCACACATAGGAAGAATTTTCTTTCCACTACACATTGCTATTGCAATCCTTGATTCAGCCTTTGTGCAGATTTATTCTGTAGATCAAATAGGTATTTATTCTATGGAACAAATGCAGCATATGCAGTAGAGATTTTCAGGTTAGATAACTGAATATAATCAGAGAAGGGAGTTTTGCTGTCTTTAACAGACAAATCTGCATTCAGCAATAGAAAGGCTGTCTTAGTTGCAAAATACTTTGTTAAAAGCAGAATCTATCAGCACTGCATTAAAAACATTAGTTGGTATTCACACAGTGGATAAGTTCAAAAGGAACAGTAAAGGAAAATGAAAACAACCTCAGCACCTACAGTATTTAACAGCACTGGAACTCAACCTATGGAATTTATTCTTCAGAGGCCTGTATAGAGCTTTTATCATGAGTCTGAGTGAGAAATCGTGTGACACGCTGGCTCAGTTCTGTTTCTTTTCAGCTATTCTGCAAACTTGTTGGATGATATCTTTTGCCATTTCCTTCCATTTACGTATGTAAAGTTTCTTTTTTTCTTCTTGTAAAAACATACAATCTATCTAATCAATTACTTTTCCCTAAGACACAGATTGCAGAGTGCCTTTGGATTTTCTTAACTGTTTTTCATGAATGCATTCATTCATATTTTTTAATAAAATTGTCACACACATTTCTGTATTTTTGACTTGTATGCCTCTTTGTGATTTTAAATGCCACTTCAGTTGCTAAAGGTCGAGTGCCATTGCTCTAAGGGGCATATTTTCAGTTTGGTGCACGAAGAGTTATGCACATCAATCTTTAATCAAGATGAAAAATCCTCCTAATGCTTTCTACTCACAAGCTCAGTGCATAGCAAAAGAAACTTAAAACAGACTTGTGAGTTTCAAAAAATTATTTTGATGTTTTCATCTGGCAAATCATTAATAACTTCATGATTCATTCTGAATGATTCTATTCTTTTAAAACCAATGCCACTGTTAACATTTGTGGCTCCTAGAGAAAAGCTTGTGTTGCCTTCTCAAAAAACAGTTATCACAAGAGGCAACTACTTTTAATAAATAAGATTAGAATGTACTTTATGGCAGCTTCTGATGAAAACTACATATGAAAATATGCAGATGGGGAACAATTTCCAGGAAAATACAACAGCACATGAAATTCTGGAATATAATAAAACACATGCATTTGAAAGCAGCATTTCTTCCATGCAAAAAGAAAAAGGAGGAAAAAAGCACAACTCAACGTGAAAGGTATATATTCTCATGCAGAACTTCACATATAGCTGTCATAGGTAGTGTGTACATGCAGAAACCCCAATTCATAATGCAGCAGAGTACTGTCGATGCAGACATACCAAACTCCATTCTTTTTACTTGTTTGGCCTCATGCTCACATCTAAGAATGGATCCAATTTCTTAACTAGCTATGAATGGAACATTTTCTGTAATGGATTCATAATCAAGAACAAAATTAACGTTTGAAATTCCAGTGGTGTTGCTTATTAAAAATAAATAAATAAATAAATAAATCAAAGAAATTGAGCATAGAGTGATAGTTTTATTTAAATGACTAATTTGATATCTGTTCTTTACATGAATGATCACAGAAAATATATATTTAAAATTTGCTTTGTAGTCTGTGAAAATATGACAGATTGAAAAACATTGTTTTTCAAGTACTCCTGAGAAGTTTCAGAAAGAGAAAGAAAAATGAGGGAAAAATTGTGTTTAAGCACATTCCACTCTGAGGAAAGTAGGGGGAAAAAAATATTGGAACAATTCACCTGGCTTTTTGTCTGATCAGTTTTTTTATGATTCCATTTTTAGTAGGAAAATAATACAGCTAATAAAGCAAAAAAATTGCCAGACCTTTTAAATCATCAGTGTAAAATCCTCCTGGTTTTGATCATGAAAACTGTTTTATTTTTTTGCAATTCATTTCAACAGGCATTATGGTAAAAATGAAGAGAGTGGAAATTTGAAGAGATGATTCTACCATTATTGTCTACCTACAGATAGCTAATTTCTATCAGGTTTCCTGAATTTGTAATTTTATTTGAGAATAATGTTACTAAAAACTATGAGGAGAAATTTACTTTTTTTTTCCCCACACACGCAGGCAGAAGGGAATGATACTCATTATAAAATTCACTTACTTCAGAGAATAAATTGCACTTTATATCATTGCAAAAGTTAAAGTTCACACAGTGCAAAAATCTTTTTTAGACTGGAAATATTTATGGAAGTTACTACATTATTTCCTCATAAGAGATGTTTTGTTAAACATGTTCAATAGAGGAAGTCTTGCTTACATGATTTTTGTTTTTTGTTAAAACATTCTTCCTATATATTTAATATATTGTTGAATTGAAGTATTGAATTGATTTTCTCCCTGATGCTTTTGCACTTCTGTGGGAACAAAATGATTTTTTCAAGTGCCTCACACAGCTTCCGTTGGCTTTAGTTTCCTCTGAACGTTGCCAACTCAGGCTGCACAGATTTGGATCCTTCTTTTGTACCTGTTATTTTGAGGCTTAACCCTAATTTCAGTGTTACAAAATTCAGAGCTATAAATAATCAGTTCATTCTTTAACTGCAGAGGAGCTCTGTTAATCCTTTAAAAGCAACCCCTTTACATGCCTGAACATGTTTTCAATACCTTATTTCCTGTTGTTGAGCTGTGATATCAAACACAGAAAACATGCAAGCAAGAACAAGTGATAAATACCAGTTTGCTGTAACTCTCCCTCTCTCTCTCTGTTGGGAAATGCATGAGTCCCGACTGGATGTACATGTGCTTTCCCATGTGAGATTCTTCTCTCTAACAACAACCAATGCACGTTTGTCACTGTCACTGAACTGGCTAATCCAGGCAGTATAGAAGACTATGTATCACAAAACAATGGGACTAATTTGAGTGACAATCACTTAAACGGAGCAGTCTCTTAAGTGGCATGCTGAAACACCGAGTTCAAAAGTGAAGCATACTACTGCTTAAAAATAAGTGAATAGTGATAGTAATTCATACCACAAAGGAAATTATAATAATAATGGCACATCATTCATATGATTTCCCATACAAGGAAAAATAATACTAGCATACTAGCTGGAATTATAATTCTAGGGAAAACCCTCATCAACAGTTCTTTCACATTTTTTACTATATATATATAAATATTTATTATTATTATTCCTATCACTATACAGCTCACACACTGCATTTCTCCCTTGACTACGTTTTCTTGGAGTAGAAACTAGTTTGGCATTCTCATCCAGGGTAAAGACCTCTTCCTGTGATCAACAGAAATGATTCTGCCGATTTGGCACGCTGTGTTCTTGGAGGGAGATTCACAGGATGAATACAAGCTTGCTCCCTTTTCTGAGATCTCACTTACAGCTTTGAGTTTAAGATTTCAGCTTACACTGTCAAAATGCATGCTGATTTGATCCCCTCTTACAGGACTGGATTCAGGACGAAGCTGGCCTCTGTTGCGGTGGTAAAGGCCTATTTCAATGTGGGGTCTGACCTGCGGAGACACTAAGCCCCGCAGGCTTCAATGGAGCTCTTGCACCCCCTGCAGCCCAAAAACCAACAGCTCACTCGGAAAGAGGGAGAAAAAAAAATATATTAACAAACAAACAAAAAAATCCCAACAATACAAAGGAGAAGAAAAAAGAAAAAAAAAAATCCGTCATCCAGATCAAGTATCATAACCTCATACCGTTGTTCTAAATTAACTGCCTGATAGAAGGACACTCCTCTGCACCAGCTAAGTTTCTCCCAGGAGAAGCTCTGTGCTGCAGCCATGTCCCCCGGGCAACACTGGGACCCCCAGTGGCCCCCTGTGATGGCTCAGGAGCACCCTGCTCCTCTTTGTGCCCCCACACATGGTGGAGACTTTATCCACAACCACTTCTCTCTGCAGTGCTGGAGTTTGTCAACAAGTCTGTGCTGACAAAAGCTGGGCAATATTTATGTAGATCTATTAAATACTGTACATATATATATATATGCACATATATGCAACAACCTTTTTTAAGCCAGTATTAAAAACAAACACACATTTGTCTGCCTAATGCACAGCCTGTGTGGAGTAGAGAAAAACAAACAAACAAACAAAAAAAAACTACACACACCACAAAGAGCCCTGATCCTTCAATAGGCATCTTAACACAGCAAGTCACACAAAGGACAGGGGGACTGGTAAAAGCAGCTCCTCCCAGCAGACATAAAGGCTTGGAGTATCTTGTCTGCAAATGTGGTGGCTTTTCAAAGGAACTACTAGACCTGGTTCAGCCTAAACTTTTCATAAGCTGATGGTCATTCTTTGAGATGCCTCATACAGGCAGACTACTCCGGCCATTGACAGTTTACTTTCATTAGATACCAGTAAAGAAGCTTGTGACAGGAACTAAAGTTAACTAGAAAAAACGAGCAGAATCACCAGTTTTATTTCAATTCCAAATCTCCAGGAATTTTAAAGCCATTCCATATATGTAAAAACTTTTTTGAACCATTTTGTTATGGTTACACCACATAAATCTCATTTAACCAAATTAGATACAGTCAAGTCATTAGATACTGTCATAGATTGAACTAAAGAGAGAATATTAAAGTGAAGGAGACAAAAGGAAGACTCCAGATGGAAAGCTCATTGAGAGCTGGGTGCCATTTATTAGGAAAATTATATTAACTAATACTCATGTATAGTGTTGTCTTCCTGTTTGCTCTGGTCACCTCCTGTTTCTTACCTGAACAGCAAAGTCTTCCTATCTTCTGCATTATATGTTTGTCTCCCGCAATCAGGGTTTCAGTTCAGAACAAAATCCTAATGTTATATTTCCAATTAACAAAACGTGCCTCTCTCTTGCAAGCTCAGAGCAAAACATCGCTGAAGTATTCTCAAATCCATATCTTTTTTTTTTTTTTTTTTTTTTTGGTCTAGACATGAAAAAGTTTTGCAGAACTTGAAGCAAAGTAGAAGAGTTATTTCCCTCAATTCCCTCACACTCACTTCTCTCCTGCAGTGGAATAACTAGCTTTATGATGACATAGGGAGACTACGTCGTCATCTCTAGAAATACCAGAACACATCTCCTCATGAAAGAGCCACAGATGAGATCCACCATGTTACCCAAACTGAATTTGAGTGCTGTTGAACAACAAAAAACAGATATCAGAAAACATCAAAGTAGTTCATCTGACAGTCACAGAGATTAAACTTCACACAATGATAGGTGGAGTTTTCTCTATAGCTAAAAGGCCCTGTGTGCTATGGCTTTAGTGAAAACAATAAATACCATCAAACACTTCATTAAAATAACTCCAGGAGTAAAAACTACCATCTCTTACCCTCAACTTACCATCTTACTCTGGTACCAAAAAACAAAACAAAACAAAACAAAACAAAACAAAACAAAACAAAACAAAACAAAACAAAACAAAACAAAACAAAACAAAACAAAACAAAACAAAACAAAACAAAACAAAACAAAACAAAACAAAACAAAACAAAACAAAACAAAACAAAACAAAACAAAACAAAACAAAACAAAACAAAACAAAACAAAACAAAACAAAACAAATGAAGGATTCCTTCCCCTGAGCAGAGATAACATTTCTTAATTAACACCTTAATTAGCACTAAGAGGGTATGGCCTGTAGTTTATTGGATCTATTTAACTCTCCAAGCAGCTGCATTGCTTTTAATCAGCACCAATGTTTCTCAGAAAACAAAAACAACACTCCTGTTCTGAATATGCTGCAATATATTTAATCATTTATCTCCCAGTTCAGCTTGGAAATCCTGCATAAAGGCCTGTTTTAGATCTGGGTTTTTTCTTTTCCATAAATAACTGAAGTTTATGTTTGTTATGACTGACCGTAATAAATTAATCTCAGTTGTGAAGGCCTGGGAAAGTGAAAAGACTTGCCTAAGTTTCAGTGTCTATCTAGAGCATATAACCACTTAGGGCAATGTTCATATAATGACAAGATCTTTAGATGCCCAAATGAAGACAAGGTCTCCTTAGTGACCTGATTAAAACATGACTAAATGGTATGTAAATTAATAGTGTAAAACAGCTTTTAATTTTTTGGTTATCTCCAAATCCAAAGGAAGATACAACAGCAATGTTTTGTTGTTGACTGTATAATCTGTTTTGCATTATAATAATAGCTGACCACCACAGAGAGCAGGGTGTTAGTACTCTCAGCCAAGTGACAATTACTCTGCTCTTGCAGAAGCAGTATTTGCTTCCTTGCTGCTAGCTAGGAGAAGATATGCTAGTTCTTAAATTACAAATGAAGTAGGATGCTGTTGGCAGCAGGGTAGCCATTTTTAGCAGAACAAAGTACAACCTAGGGCTGAAACAGCCCTTCTAAAATCAAGCAATTTCAATGGGAACAGAAGTGAACTCTATTCCTACTGACAGTCCAGTGTAACAGTAGTCCCTAATTTTCCTAACCACTAGAGCAGTAAGCATGTGTCCTGGTAATTGTCTATTCTTGTGGTCAAAAATCCCACAAACTCAGCACAAGATACACATGCAACAGTATGCAAGAGGACAGCAAGAAGAGGAACCTGAGAAGTGCTGAAAACAGTAAGAGGCTAAAAACACTAAATGAATTTTAAAAATGCTCAACATACTATCTTTATCTATGGCTTTCACAGACAAAAGAGCTCGTACTGCACTGATAATAAATCTCTGACAATAAAGGCTGAACTGTTAAAATATATCCAATCGTTTTTTGGGGAAAAAATAATTAATTTATATCTTATATTGCATTTAAATATCGTTCTTCTTTCACTTTGGTTTATGCCATTTTCATTCAGCTAGCAACTGTCCTGACCAAATCAGACTAAATGACAGAAACCAGGTAACGATTTATAAGGTTGGGTTACTAATCCCGTAGGAGTCTTACTTCAGCTGCCGTGCTGAGAAATTACCTCTCAATAGACCCACATCAGAAATACTGAAAATGTGACAGAAAACACCAAGTAAGAGGGCAGAAAAGAACATTTGAAAGGAAAGTGTAATGCTAGGATTTCTGGAACTTTAATAGCTTTCCACCTCAATTTTGGCCATCGTGAACTCAAGCTAAGAGAAAAATATATATCTTTTTAATGAGTTTTACAACATGCAAGTTGCTTTATAACATATTACATAATGGTGTAAGTGCCATAAAGAAGGTTGTGTGCTGCTCTGTAAAACGTATTAGATCATCAATATTTCTGGTTTCTTACTGAGGAATTAGAAATAATGATGAAGATTAGGGTTACAAGAATTAAAAAAATCCTTTGAATTGAACCATTCAGCTGTCCCCAGGGATATACTAAGGAATTTGTAAGCTGAGAAAATAGGTAAGTTTATAGGTTCTCCTTAGGTGAAAGAAGTCATGTTAACATCATAAGTTTTATACAGACTTTCCATATGCTGTAGTACCCTCTCTGCTTACCCCCAGCTTTCTTTCCCTTGCGCCTTTATTGTATAGCCCAGTTGGAAACAGATTTATTAAAAATGATCCATCAACTTTTACACAGAAGGAGGTCAAACATCTTTCAGTAGCATGATTCAAAACAGGAATATCCATTTAATCCTCCTGCAAATGACAGGCTGGGAGAATGCTTCAGCAAGCATAAAGACCAAGGAGAAGAGCAATCCTTTAGCTTAAGGCCATGTTTCCTCAGAGGCACCGATGCTCTGTCTCAAAGTCCACCTCTGTAAATGTTCTGTATCCCTGGAGAAGAATGCAGAGACCTTGAGACTTCCAAATTTATCGTTATATATATATATTTATTTATTTATTGTTCAGACATGTACTTTTTTATTTTTGAAACATCTGTAAGACTACTATGTATGTTAGGCAGTTAGCAAGCTAGAAATTAAATCTTGACTTGATGTGACTAGGAATGGGACTTGTAGATGTTTTTATCTGTTTGATTAGAGTTCAGTATTTAGCTGCTTCTGAAAGGCCAACTCAGCACCTGACTACTAATACAATTAGTAGGTGACCAAATGCAATTTCAAATCTGGCATTGAGCAAGCTAAATCACACTGGCTGTCAATAAGACAGATTTCTATGTTGTTCTATGTTGGTTTTTTTGTTTGTTTGTTTGTTTTCTTCTTTTTTTTCTTTTTTATAGAACTTAGATTTTAATGATACTGTCCAAAACCAAGACTCAGTAATTCTGAAAGGATTAGAAGTAAAAAACAAGGATGAATTAGCTTGCTAAATGTAATGATTTTCCTCATATAAAACTCAATGTGTACTGACCACCAATTACCACTGTCAGTCTACAAAAGAAAAGTTGTATCTCTCAAGAACCAATTATCAAGAGCCATTGTACAACTTTATTAGAAACTTTGCTTGCTTTTATAGTAAGAAGCAGTATCTTCCATAAAGATATATGTTTGCTATGATATAGTGAACAGCAGCTTATGAAAGCATGTGAGATATTACATAGCCTAGTGAAATTATGATTCAGTCTCTACTTTTTTCATTTAAAAGAAGTATGATTTCCAAATTCCCAACAATTAGTTTTGTTTTGAGTTAGAACGTAAATCAACATTAAATTCTTGAAAGTTTCTTAAAGGTATCAGTGTCTATCAATGACCAAGTAACTTGATCAGGCCTAGTAAGTTTTCCTGTTTTGATAATGGTCAAGTGTCTTTTTGCCATATTTGAAGCACTTTACATGCGAGTCTCTAATTTTTGTGATGAAAGATGCAAAGAAACTGCAGTAGGTAGAGAATTCTAACTGATGTTGCAGAAGACCAGGCATATAAAATCATCAAGTTAAAGACCTGAAAACTAGAGGGAAAAAAAAAAAAAAAAAGTTAGGAATCACAGAAATAAATCTCTTTGCTTTCAGCAGGGAGTGCAGTCTCCAGGCTGGTATTAAGCTCAGGAAGATAAGGCTGCTAGGGATATATTCCTCATACATAAAAATTAAAGGAAGAAGAAGGGTACTAAAAGGGCTCTTTAATGTGTAGTGTGATTATAAACTTTGCACCCGACCTCACTATTTTTTTCTTCCATTTGTATTTTGCTAAATATAATGCAATATACTATAGTAGATTTTATTTTCTCATTTAAGGAGAGTGAAAAATGGTATCATGTACAGTTTATTAAAGGAGTGAAAACCAGTCAGATCACTGGACACCGTCAGTGATTCTCCAAACAGATGATGCTCCATTCCAATCTCACTGTTCCTCAAATCTCAACATAGAGAAAATACGAATAGGCTCTGGAATAATGCTAACATTCAGGCAGTAAACGTGATGCTAACTTCATTAACATTATCTTAGACTTGCTGATTTTGTTTCCTAATTAAAATTAAAATTGATATTCCCTAGCACAGTTTTTTTTTTTGCTACCAAGTCACTGATAAGAAATGTACATCAAGAGCAATGCATTATTAAAGTTGGCTGGCATGTCATTTCTCAGCTCATGATTGTAACCAGTTTTATGGATATATTCTTGACTAAAATCCCCCAGGTATTGAAGGCATTGTGTTTACTATAGACCTACACCAAAGCTATTGTCAAATCAAGAGACTGCAACAGGTTGAGAAAATTTTGTGAGAGAGCTGGGAAGTTCTTGTTCCTGAGTTTATCCATAACGTGATATTAAATCAGTCAAGTCTTCCCTTCACTGTCACTGACTTTCAGAAGTGCCTCAGTATACCCATATGTGTCAGGATTTCATTTTTAAATACACTGTACCAACTATTCAGTAGTAGGAAGAATTAGAAGTAGAAATTGCTTAGCGTGAGCTTTCTCTGACTCCACTGACTATGCTGGCCTGACTAGTGTGGGAGCTTCAGGTACCTGCAGCACACCTTGACATCTTCACGTGGATTTTCCTTCCTATACTTAAGAACCTCAACCCAGACTTGAATTGCACTAGAGGAGTCCCAGAATAAATTCAATGGGCTAAAAATATATGCTTCAGGAAACTCCTGAAAAGCCTCTGAGAAGAAAATTCACCAGATGATATTCATAAAATTCAGATATGATCCACGGAATGGCTCCATTTAGGGAGTTTCCCCTTAAAAGAACCTCATTGGACATATTGCATTAAAAAAGGTTAATAGATGAAGGAGAGCCAGAAGATAAGATGTGACTCTGAGATTAGTGAATCCTGCAAGTTAAATGGTCTCTTCTGTAGGTCAGTCATTTCCCAGGCTAACAATTTCTAATGGTACTAAAGCAAGTGATGTAAGAGAAGAACATTTTCTTCTGTGAATATATATATCATCTAC